CAGGTGAAGAGAGGGCAGCAGGACGCGGGTGAGCCAGTGCCTGTGGGGAGAGGAGAGAGGCCGCAGCAAAAAGCTGAAGTCTCGCTCTTCTCGGCTCTGCGGAGCCGAGCCAGGGCTGTGAGCCCGTGTCCCTGAGCTGCCACAATGGCTGGGCTCCCCAGCCAGGGCTCTCTTGGCAAAGGGCTGTCAGGTAGGCCAGGGCATGCCACCGGGCAGGGCTGAGGAGCCACAAGAGGCAGCTGATGCCTGGGTCCTCCACGCCTTGCAAAGCCTGAAGCAGCACAGAGCACAGGACGCTTGCCGTCCTGCTCTGCCCCAGCCACCCAAGGAGAGCCCCAGTGTCCCAGCACACCCACGCGCTGCTGAGCCACCACCTTTTCAGGCAGGGGCTTCCCCGGGGCTTTACCTTGGCACGTCCACGCCCAGGAACACCTTCCAGTTATCCCAGCCACCATAACTGTAGGGGTTCCTGAAGACCTGCAGGCCGGGGAGACGCGCATCACATCTGGCTCTGCCCTGGCCGGCCCTCCTGCTCCGCGGGCTGCGCTCACCTTGCCTTTCTTCTGCAGTCTCTGCCTCTCCTTCTTGTTGATGTGCCGCTCGATGCTGGTTTCCCCACGGGTGATGAGGGCAGCGTGCCACAGCGTGAGGGCACCCAGGGCCAATGCAACCGAGCTGGGGACAGCAAGGGACAACAGGTTGCACACAGGCCTTCCTTCCCTGGTGCCGCAGCTGGGGGGGGTGGGGCTGAGGCTACCTCCCCACACCCACAGCTGCATAGGTGGGTGGGCTGGTTTAATCCCCCATGACAGAGAGCCAAAATCTGTCCTCTGTGGCCTCAGAGCTGGCAGGGCTGGGACGTCTGTGCTAGAGCAAGCCAGCCCAGCCCCGGGGAGGTAGAGGGTGAGCAATGTCACAGGTCAGGGGGCTGCACACTACTTCCCCCAGCACCCTCGCTCCCAGCCCCTGGGCCCCGTTACCTGCACAGGACCCAGAGGTAGACCACGCTCTTGTGAAAAGCTCGCTGGCGGAAGGAGAAGGTGGGTGGTGGGGTCTGGTAGTATGTCTGAAAAAGGACCAGAGGGGGACGGGATCACCCAAGCTGCTTTACAGCTTGAAGCCAGACAGGGGGACTGCTGCGCCCCTCGCTGATGCAGAGCTTGGACAGCTAGAAAGGACTGTGGCTGGAACCAACACAACAGCCAGGGTGACAGGGAGGCAGCCTGAGACAGCCACGAGACAGACAGACACCCGAGAGCTGGCACATGGGTGAGAAGCAGTGGGCTGGAGGTAAGGGGGCAGGGAGCAGCCGTGGTCAGGACACCGCACCACGCCGCAGCTGATGCTCAGGGCGAGATGTGTACGCACTGCTGCAGCTTCCCCAGGAGAGCAGGGCCTGAGCAGCACATGCCAAGCAGCTGCCACCAGCTAAAGCTCCTGGAAGCTGGGTGCACAGGGAAGCGGACCCCAAGCTGCTGGAGGCAGTGCCCGTAGCAGAGCTGCCCGGCCAGCCCCAGCTCTCTTGACACCTGAGACAAGCACGGGGGCTGGTTCTGGTTGTGGGGTGCCCCTTGAGAGCAGGGCCCCAAGCAAGACCCAGCCTGCAGGGCAGCTCTGCTCCACACTGCCCGGAGCAGCTGGGGGGCAGGGATGTCCCACCTGGTTGGCAGCCACCTGCAGTCTTTCCTTCTCAAGCAGTTTCATTCTCTAGGGGGATGGAAAACAGGGCACCAGTTACGTGTCTCGGAGGAGGGGGCCCTTTGCCATCACCTTCCCCCCCCTCTCCCCCCCGCAGGACTGGGGCAGCTGGGGGCCTCACAGGAGGAGGAAGAGGGGAAGCAAAGTCACTACAAGGCCAGGCCTGGCCCAGCCTTGTTCTGCAAGCTCAGCCTGGGGGAGCCCAGGCAGCCTCGGTGCACGGCAGGGCCAGGGCCAGGGCCAGGGCCTGCCTGCTCACCTCAATGGCTGCGGAGGCGGCCCGGGACACCCCCCAGCCGCTGACGCTGCAGTAGATGCAGCCCATGGTCATGAACAGGCAGAAGGAGAAGAAGTAGCGGTGGTTGTAGTGTCCCACGCAGTTGTTCAGCCAGGCTGCCTCTGGGGTTAAAGGTGCGTAACCGTGACGGGCCATGGGTCCAAACCCACCCCAGGGACCAAGGCTGTTCTGGGCCCGGCCCCCAGCACCCTTCCCCGTGCTAGCTGACTTGGGAGGAGCGGGGCAGGGAGAGAACAGGGAAGCAGGGCCGGCTGCCCCCGGGAGGGTGCCGTGGGTTAGTACTGCAGAAGGATACGGCAGTGGTGGTCCATCTTCAGCACGCACCTGGGAGGGAGGAGAGCAGCGCCAGTGTCAGCGCGAGCACCGCGTTTGGGAGGGGGCAGGCAGCCCCCCCAGCCCTGCATGCTGTGCTAGAGACGAGGCAAGAAGCCAGCAGAGCAGAGGGGAAGGGGCCCCGGTCTCGCACTGTGGCGGAGGGCAAGGAGAGGCGTCCCGGAGGCTGCCCCGAGTGCTGTGGTGGGCAGAGGGAGGGAGCCCTACCTGTTGCAGATGCTGCAGTGGTGGGTGCGAGCCGGCTTGGGGGCAATGCATTTCCTGCAGATGGAGACGCCGCCGAGATCGTCCTTGGCCTGCGCACAGGTCAGAAGAGATTTGTGCACCCAAGCCCTGCACCCGTCCCCTGCTCCCCACGCTCCTCCCCTCCCTTCTCCCCTCCCCGCACTGCCCAGCCTAGCTGCCCCGATCTGGAGGAGGCCTCCTGCAACGATGCCACCAGCCTGGTTTAGCTGTTCCCAGTGCCCAGCTGGGAGAGGCTGCGCTGCTGGTCGGTGCCTCACCTGCGGTGGGTGCCCAGGCGAGGTGGTGATGGCCATGTAGTAGTGGAAGACAATCATGATGAGGTTCCAGTGTCCGTAGGCGAGGTGCCAGCAGATCCAGGCAGGCGTGTAGGTCTGCAGGATGAGGGGCAGCAGGCAGATGTACACGATGGCCACGATGGAGCTCGTCAACCCGATCACCAGTGCCACAAACACCTACGGGAAAGGGGCCTGGGTCACCGGAGTGGGCAGCATCTGCCCCTCACTGCCTGGGGAGCGGCACAGGCAGGATATGGCCACAGGAAACCAATCTGAACCACACGCTGAGGCCCCCGCTCTCTTCACGCCTAGAGCACAGGCAGCCTTGAGACTCAGTTGCCCCATCAGGACGCTTGCCCCAGCCCCCAGAGCCAGGTGCCCCCCGCCCAGTGAGGGTACTCGCCACGCCAAGGGTACTCACCACACCAAACCACCGGGTGACGTGGTCCACCAGCCAGTAGATGGGCTCGAAGAGGGAGTCGAGCACCACGTCGCTGTTGGTGAAGGAGTTGTAGAGCAGGGAGAGGAGGCAGAGGTTCCCGTAGTGCCACAGCTGCTCCACCTGCCGCAGCAGCTTAAACCGCCGCCGCCGGCCCAGCCGCAGGCACTTGAGGAGCAGGCGCATCACCGCCACAAACATCCGCTGCCAGCTCCTCATCCCTGCCACGCCGCGCCTGGGGGAAGAGGAGCTCGGCGTGGGCAGGCCACCCTGCTGCCTGGCTGTCCCTCAGGAAGGGTCTCCCCTCCCGGACGGGCCGGTCGCACAGCTCCCGGCGCCGACTCTGCCGGACGCCTGCCTGCACAGCAGGGCAGGGGCCTCTCCTTCACCCTGCACAAGGACGCAGAGCAGGGGGAGCTGAGCCCAGACTCCTGGAGGCTGCAGGACCGCTGTTGCTGGGACAGCTCTCTGCGTGGAGCAGGGGGCACAGGCCCCTCGGCATCTGGGCTCAGATGCTCTCTGATTCCATCTCATCTTTCCTGGCAGGGAGGGGGCCGGGGGAGCGACATGAAGAGTCTGACTCAGAGGAAACCAGAGAAGGCACGAGCATGCAGGATGCTGGGCCAGTTCCAGGGACGATCCCAGGTCCAGCCCTTCCCAACAGGTTTGGGAACGGGGGAACCCACACAAGATGCATGCGGAGCAGCCGGGCCAGGATTACGCCTCCTACCCTAGTCCCTCTCCTCACCCCCAAAAAGCAGGGCCTGGATGCTACTTCCCTTCACCTCAACCTCTGGACCAAACTGCAGAGGCCAACCTGCACCTTTCCCAACATCACAGCCCCGCTCCAAGAGTCCCAACGCTTTCCCCTTTTCCCTTGCCTGGATCCACCTTGGACAACGCCACGTGCCGGCAAAGGAGCAGCCCCGGGCTGAGGCGACGCTGTGAAGTGCTCCCCTGCCCGCTGAGCCCCTCGTCCCACCTGAGAGCCGTGCTGGGAGCGAGGAGGAACCTGAGCCGGCCCAGCAGCCGTGAAAATGATCTGCAGGGTTGGGGCCCCCAGGCCTCCCTGCAGGCAGGGCCCATCAATATTAAGCAGCGAGGCTGCCCCGGGGTCCTGCCAAGGCACATTCTGAGCCTGGGTCAAGCGCTCGCCTCGGCACGGTGCCAGATATCGGTGCCACGCTGCAGAGCCTGTCCAGCCAAGACCGGCTCCCTCTGCTGCCGTGCCCGCTGCACAGCCCTCAGGGAGCAGCAAGGAGGGTAAGGGCAGGAGCTGCAGCATCCAGATGGGCTGTCCAAAGGAGCCAGGGGCTCCCCTCTGCCCTGTCAGACACGCGTGAGGCTGATGCCAAGGCTGGGAGCAGCTGGACACGAGGACACCAGACCCACCAGCCCACCCCAGGTCACAGGCGTGGCTCCCGCCCAGGTTTCCTGTACCCTTGTAAGGGAGAGGTGGGACACGCAAACCCCAGCACCACCCTCTTCCCCCACATTTCCCCTTCCCACTCTGCCAAGAGCTTTCCTCTGAAACACATCAGGTGTGAAGTGGAGCGACAACATCCTTCTGTGCAGCCTTTGGGTGGCACCTGTCCCTGTGTTTTCAGTGTGGTAAGAGACAAAACGCTGCAGCCAGCAGCAGGTCTTGGGATCAGCCCTCCCCGCCAAACACACAGCACCTCCCTGCCCCTCAGAGAGGTTTCCTCGCCTACAACAGCCGGCAGCTGCCGAGCGGGCAGCCCACAGGGGAGGCAGCCAGCCTGCCCCAGGGCAGGACCTCCCTCTGTCCCCAGGCACCTGCCTGCAGACAGTGGCACAGCCACAGGGATGAGGGTCCAGCAGAGCCATGCACCCTCCCTGGCCCAGTCAGGCACTGGGGCTCCAGCTCTCACCCTGCCCGCGGCCCTCCCCACATCCCAATGGGGCATTGGGCCCACAGGGGTGGGACAGCAACCACCAGCACAGCCAAGGCCACAGGCAACATCAGAGCCCCGGGGGGGGGGAGGGACACACCTTAGATTTGGCCCTACCCCGGGGAACAGCCAGGGCCCTGCTCCTGCTGGGTCCAGCTGCCCAGCCCCAGCCCCGTGGTACCCTCCTCCACAATGCCCAGCTCTCCCAGTTCAGTAGCACCCAGTCCCACGGCGCCAAGACGCCCTCTGGCACCCAGCCCCATCACGCAAAGGCTGCCGATACCAACAGCAAAAAGCCCTCAGCGCCACTGCATCCAGACCCATAACATCCGGGATACCCTGCCCCGCGCACCCCCGGCCCCTCCAGGCCCACAGCATCCCCCCCGTTGCCTCCCAACCCCATAGCACCCCCAGGGCGACAGCACACCACCCACTGCCTGCCAGGCCTACAGCGCCTCCTGCCCCACCACACCCTCA